TGGGCAGCTTTCAGGAAGGAATTCTTAATTCAGGATGCCAGTGTATATTCTTACTCTGCTCCCTGCTTTCTAGTCTGGATTTCTCTTTTCCTCTTCTTTTGTGCACTCCCACCTTCACCCACATTCTGCTCCTGCTGTCCTCCATGGGATGCCCCGTCTGCCTGGAGGAAGCTGCTGTGGGTGGTGGTAAGCATGCAAACCCTACTCCACAAAACCAGTGTCACAGGCACCCATGCCAGGTATCAGACTGCTTGAAGACGCTACGGATGGTCCATACTTGGAGGCGTCCAGGCCAGACTGGATGGAGGCAAGGGCAGCCTGATCTAGTGGTTGGCAGCACTCTCTGCTGCAGAGGGCTTGGAATTACACAGTCTTGGAGGCCCCTTCCACTCCAAGCCATTCTATGATCTCATTCTCAAAGGACTTCCCAAGCTTTAAGCTCCAACCCACAAAGGGAGCAAACTCCAATACCAGATCCTTTTCCCAGTGATGCTGAGGATGAAAAAGACATCTCCTAAACCTGCCATAAGGCTGTACAGTTCTGAAGAACATTGGTGGGCTCATTATACTTCCAGCCTTGATCTCACATAAGCTAGGAGGTCCCCAGAAGGATCTTGCTAGTGGTCTTCAACCTTCTTAAGATCTTGAGAGGGAGGTCATGGCTCTTGAAATTCTTTAGTTTTTCCACAAGTGGACCATTACACCCATCTCCATTCTTACTCCATTTGCCTGCCATGAAAACGGGAATTCCCCTGCTAGCCTTCAGACACAGAACTTTCTGCTATGCTGCTGAAAATAGCTAGGAGAAATCCTTCCTTCCTCCCCCAAGCCCTCCTCACTGTCTCCTCTTCATCCTCTGGCCTCACTGAACGCTTTCCTGACGCTTCGCCTAACACAACACTGCCTGCAGCATCCCTCACTTCTGAGTAGGGATCTTTCTTTAGTAGGGAAAAGTCTGGATCTGTCATGGCCTTGCCACCCTCATACTAACCCCATACTACTGCAGGATGAGGCCATGCACCAGAGCTACTGTAGCCATGAAAGCATTGCATCATCCCGCAATACCTGCAGGATGCAATGGGCAGGTGAATGCGACTCTGAAGTGTAACAATCCTGACAATGATAAATAATGCACACTGAGCGCTCCTGCGAAAGCATTCAGAGTTGTTACACTCAGCTAAGAAGCTCAGGGCCTCGATAGCAGAACAAAAGGGTCCCTCAGGGACTGTTGCTGATTCCCTCTTGAACAGTAGGGATTAGCAAAGCCATTTTAGCACAGTACTGCTAGGTCCTTCAGCTCTGGAGCACTGCAGAGGCTTTAATGGATTCGTGTGCGTAGCATTGCAGAGGTGGAGTAGGGGCTGCTCTGAGCAAGTAAAGCAGCAGCTCACTGCACAGTGAATAACTTCTAGAGCAAAGCAGAGCCCAAGAGCAGCATCTTGATGTGACTCGGGGCTGAAGAAACAGCTAGCATCACTTAGCACAATGACACTTCAGCAGGCAGCACTCACGTGAAGACAGCCAAGACCACCTTGGCAGTCCTCATCCCTCTGCTGGTTAGCATCACTTGGGCATGCCTCCTGGTGACCTTTATGCCAATCAAAGAATGAAACATGGCTCACAGTGCCAAAGCATCACCCTGGGATGTCCCTGATTCTGCTTCACAGCCCACTGTCCTTCTGGGCCCTTCCTCCAAGATAAGCCCAGAACAAACTGGTGCACTAACGGGGCATGACTCAGGAGCCAGGAGTCTTCCTGGCACTTGTCTGCCATGGGCATCACAACAGGGAAGGAGAACCAGTGAAGTTAATTTATTAAAAGGGTTCAAGTTCCAAGATTCTTCCCCCATTTTTTCTTCTCCAAGTTTGTCTGTGGAAGTCGTAAAAATAAATCAAAGTGTCTTCTGCCTCTCCTGAGGCTTTCCCTCTGCACAAGCATGGCAGTGAAGACAGGCACTACAGGGTCTGAGCCTGGCTGGCTCTAAAGAGCACTGCATGAAAGAGTAGAGTGCAGTAGCTGTGGCAAGAAACACCACCATGAAACTAAAATAATGGCACAGAGAGCTGCTCTTCAGCAGTTTTGGCTGCTTCATAGCCCTGCACATTAACCCCTTGTATTCACTTAAGGTGTACAGGTCTGAATCAGGTCCTTTATATTATACATGGCAGCATGTACAACATGACAGCTCCACCAGCCAGCCCTCCTACCTCAATACATCTCTGATTTGCACACAGTCTAGGGAAAGCTCCCTTCCCTATGGGGTGGAGTTTTACAGATGCAGGGGCAGGACAAGAGAGGAAGGTCTTGCTCATGGCTTAGGGTATATACAACCCTACAAACACTCTAGGCACTAATGCTTGGTTGGCTTCTGAGAGCTTCCTCCAACTCTTCCAATCCATAATGGGTGGATTTTAGCTTTATAATGGTACCTAATTCCCAGCTCAGGCTGACTGAGGGCAGAGCAGTGCCCAGGTGCTCTATATGCCACCACCTGCAGACGTGAGTGGTACAGTTTCAGACCTCCAGTGGTTAATTATGTTAATGGTTAATAGTCTAGAAATGAGTTGGTCAGTTCCCTTGTTCTTGTTCCCCAGGGAGAAGCAGTTCAGGGACCTCTCTGGGGTACCCTCTTAGGATGCTCCACACAGCAACCACATTTTCCCTAAATCTTAAAATCATTAAGGCTGAGAAGGACCACTAAGATCACCTAGTCCAACCATCAACCCATCCCACCATGTCCCTCAGCACCACATTTACCCTTTTCTTGAATATCTCCAGGGACAATGAATCCACCACCTCCCTGGGCAGCCTGTTCCACGATGCAGAAGGTACAGGTTGGATTGCTCACACACCTTCAGAGGAGAGGAGGTGAAAACCACCTGGCACTGTTCCCTGTGGGATGTCTGCAGGTGGGATGCTCCAAGCTGCTGCTGCATCTTCAAAGCACGAGGCTGGGGCAGCAGATGGGCTGGTGGCCAAAACAAAGGGAGCAGAAAGCTGAATGGGAAGAGGAGTGGATAAGAGGGCAGAGAAGAGGAAGAGTAGAGAGGAGAGATGAGCGCTGCAGAGAGTGAAGCAGAGCCCAAGGATGAGCTCTCAGCCCTCTGTCACTCCTGGTGCCCTCAGGGGACAGGTATCCAGTCTGCGGAGCAGGCGAGTGCTGCTCCAAAGTAATGGTTAAATCAATGTGTTTACAGATGATGACACTAGAGTGACATACAGTGGAGAAGCCTCATGAAAAAATAAACAGGTAATAATCACACTGCAATGTGCACACTCCACTTCTCATTACTGCAGAAAAAAAGAGGCCCACCAGGGTTCATAGCTTCAGGAGATTAACCATTCCTTCCCTGGATGAGACCTCCCTGGGGGGGGATTTGCTCTCAGGGCCTCCCTTACTTCAGAGCAAGCAGGTGAAGCAGTGCTTACGAGCAGTGAGATGTGTCACCTAGCACAAGCTGAGATGTGACTTCATGGAAAAGGCAGGGAAGAAGCACTTACATAGATTGGCAGGAGGAAGGCAGCTCCAGGGAGAGCTTTGTGACTTCATGCCAGAGGAGCTTGCACCCTACTTGCTGCCCTAACACAATGCTCTTATGGGCACTGTTGACCTTCATAACCTCAGTGAAGACTTTTTCTATCCTCATGCCTTCCTACACACTGCTGGAGAGCTGCTTTCATACAGCTCACTGCATGTATAAACATGGGAAGGATCTATCTTCCCATGTTTATACATGCAGTGAGCTGTATGAAAGCTATCCCTATAGTCACAGAAGTCCTTCAGGCAAAGACAAAAGTCTTTTTAGAGATATTGTTGAGTATATTCATTTGCAGACAGCTTGAGGAGAAACACTCCATGAAATTGAATTTACAGTGGGGAATTAATAGTTACAAGTATGTTCTATGCTCTATCAAAATGGATTTATGGGCAAAAGTTCCCTAGATATTCACATGTCATCCAGAGGAGGTCAGCAAGCCAAGAATATGTAATTTTTGTGGTTATCTCTACTGGACAGCATTGTTGGGCTGCAATAGGTGTGTGAGATTTGCAGAAGTAGCATCTTTTAGATTTAAGATGAGGTAGAGTTAAGCACTGTGTGTTGGAGAGAAGTGCTCTCACAGGGCTGAATTTGTTCATCCACTGCTCGTTCCCAACACAACTACTTTGTAGTGCCTGTATCCATGAAATTGCTGGCTGGGATGGTTTTGCACAGAGGGCAATCTCTAACTTCCCTAGGGCTGGAGTACGATATCCAATCATCAGAACAAATCACAAAGCAAATACTAGATGCTCTGCAGACTTCACAACTCCACTCCATCCTCCAACAAGCTTCAGACTTTCATGAAATAGCTCAAGACTCCAAATTCACATGTTCCAGGATAAGAGCATCATAGTTACCCCAGGGCGAAACAAAAGCTGATCTTTTCTTACTTCCCCCCCCCCCCCCCAGGCCTCTCTGCCTGATATGATTTTGGGATGTTTACTGTGTCAAACAACCTTTAGATCTTAAAGGGCTAGAACTATATATGGAATAGCCACCCAGAAGACAAAGTATATCGTGAGAAATGGGAAAACTCTCCCAGAAGACCAAAAGAAACACTGAAAGTGTTAATTCAGTATAAGCAGATACCCTTATTTGTTGAATTATTATGAGCTCTACTGCGAGGGGTAAGAAAGGAAATGGATTTTGTTTGATGAGTGGGTGTGGAGACACTTGGTTCATGCAGGCATCCACTTTTCAGCCTTCTCAACAGACCCCAAGGAGGTGGATGCCCATCCTCAATGCTGTCTCCAAAGAGCCTTCAAGCACCAGTCCTGTCCACCCAGCAGCTTCGCTGACAGGAGAGGGCATCGCAACAGGTTGTCACCTATGCAACACATTAAGGAGATCTGGACAGCACAAACAGGGACAGCTGATTGTCACTCATTATCATATCACAGACATAAGGGAGAAGGTCACTCTGTGTTTCACCCACACATACTCAGTGCCATCAAATGACATCAGTTCCTTCTTGCCTGCAGCTGGGGGCTGTATGCCTGTATCCTCTAGCCTCATCCCTTGGAGCTGTCGAGCATCTTCAAAGTGTCAGTTCTGGCTGTCTCCCTGGGAAAAAGAACATTCTGTAAAACTTCAGCAGTGTCTCTACTCTTCACAAACCCATGAAAAGCCCTGCAGCACAGATCAACTCCTCAGCACAGCGGGCTGAGCTGGGTATGACCTCACATACCTCAATCCACAGGATGTACAGTCTCCTCCCACCAGGACACACATAGCCCTGGATGCCACTCCCAGCCCCTTAGCTCCCGTGAGTAGCTCTGGGGATGTAAGGTGACAGTAGTTCAGCTGCTTGTCCTCCACCCAGCAGCATGAGAGTGATAAAGAAGGAAACAGAAATGGAAGGGAAAGCTCAGCTACAGCTCTTTATTTAACCAGGACATCAGCATTAGACACAACATTAGTATCTGTGCAAGACAACAGCCCCCCCATCTCAGTAGTTCAAATGCCAAAGGGATGCACATAGAACTCTGCAACGTAATGGAAAGAGCACCAAAGACATAGGCTGCAGCAAGCAGGAGTTTGCTCAAATACAACAGCAGTGAGCACAGAAATAAACAAAATAAGCTACTTATCTTCAGAAAGCCTCCAGGAGCAGGAATCTCCAGCAAGATATCCTCACCCTCATTGCCAACCCTTAAATGAGCACTGGGAAGGAGTGGATCCTGTCTCCACCCCTTCTGGTAACTCCAGTACATTGCATGCACCTGAGCTCCTCTGGGTTGGCCCTGCCTTCCCACCAGGTGCTCAATCACTGGTTCAGGCCATCACTTAGCATTTCTGCTACAGACCCACAGGTCCTTGCACTCAAATTTCTACTAGTCAGCAAAATGGTTGTGCACAAGTGAGCTTTCTGCCTTTTAGCTCCCAGATCTGCTCACAATCCAGATGAGCACAACAGCATGTTGGCTTCAGGCAAGGCCTCAAGACAGGCATGTTTTGCTGCAAATAGTTGATGGCTTCCACTGACATGCAATCAAACTGACTGTCGTTCTTGACTACTACAGATACACTGTTTGAATGAGAAACATTTGAATTTTTCCCTTAGTCTGCACAGAAGGGAGTGCAAATCTAAATATGAGTTTGCACTCCTGGATAGATCTAGTCTAGGTTGTGTGATGTCCTTAGGATGCAGGCTGTTGTCAGCTGCAGATCTCACTGCATGGGGACCCCAGCCCACACTTGAATATCATGTGAGAGTTCAGAGGCCAAGAGAGATGCCTAGGAGCCACTGAAAAGCATCTGAAATCCATCTATACCTGCCTTGAAGCATCTGTGTAAGATCCTTTTGAGAGGGATTTTGCTAATACAGAGGGATTATACCAACAGCTCTCTTGTGCCACACTATTTAGTTTGGGATGTTTGACAAGCAAATCAATCAGCCTCAATCCAACCCTGAGGAGCAGATAAACGTATTTTGCTTTTATTATGAAGATTGGAAAACCGAGGCACAGAGGGATTTAAGTGGCTTTAAGAGAAGAATAAACAGAAGAAAATCTCTGAGTATTTCAGGCACAGAGAGAAGGACTGACAGAATGCAAACCTCCCGGGCAGCAGCCACCAACTCATCTCTCCTCCAGCAGATGAGGCTCCTCATCTCTGCACAGCTGCTCAAACACAGGGTCCAGGTTTTGCTTCTCCTTGAGAGCTGGGATTAGTCATGGGTATGTGGGCAGAGGGCTGCTGGACAAGGACACGTGGACAGGCAAAGAAAGACAGACAGGAGAGCAAAACTCCAGTTGGTTTTAAGACAGTGGCTGGGCCCTCAGGACTGAGAGCTCATCCATATTTCAAGTACCAGTTAGACAAACAAAACAAGAACCAGAGAGGCAAGCAAGGAGCCCGTTTGTCATATCAAAAGGGGTTTCAGTGGTACCTTCCTTGCCCTCCTGTCCCCTTGAAGTTTGTAGCTGGAGGGGGGAGAAGGGACAGCTCCCTCTCCAGCCGAATGGCTCCTGCCACAGCTGGAGACGGCCTGTGTGTAATTAACCTCCAAGCCAATCCCCCAGCGGTGGCTGCCAGGCAGATCAAAGAACTCACACATCTTTGTCTGAAATCGGCAGCCAAGGGGAGCTGGGAGGAAAGCAGAGTAGGGGTGGGAGAGGGAGCGAGAGAGCGCGTGTGTGCTCCTAATTGATAAAAAGGGAAGAGCGTCTTCCTCCGAGAGATCTCCAGCCCCATCAAAATGCAGGAGAAGAAGAAGAGGAAAAGAAAAAAGGGTTTCCTTACAGGAGCATGCCAAAATCTAGCTGCTTGCAACAGAAGAGGTGGTCAATGCTACAGGGTCAGCCCTAGGCAAGGGTGGAAGGAGAAGTTGCTGGCTGTAGGACTGCTCCTTTTTGGATGCGTTGAGCCAGGACGTTGGCTTCCACCTCTGCCCAAGGGGGAAGCATACAGGGCCTATTGAGATTTGTTGGGGGATCCTTGGAGAGGCAAAGATCTTGTGGAGCACGCAAAGGATCTGCCTTGCCTTCTCTTGCAGCACCAGGAAAAAGAGAAATGAAAACCAGCACAAGTTACATCTAGCCTTGCATGCTCTGACGTGGGGCTTGGCCAATTCATTAACTCTCCAGCTGTGTTTTCCAGAGCATTTGCATTGGGATCGTAGGCAGGTGACTTGGCCACTGATTAGATCTCAGCCTTTCGTTGCACGAGCTGACCAGGATGAGAAGTGCTAGTCCTGGCACGAGGAGCTGCCAAATGTGACAGAAAATAGTGTGAAAAAAATGACAGGAGAAAAACAGTATTGTGAGGGACAGCTGCATTTTAAAGGAGCTGGCATGAGAAACACTAATTTTGCAGATAACTGAAGGAGGAGCACTGGGTGTGACTCAGGAAAATAACTCCAGCATCCTCCTGGATCAGCAGGGAGTGCTGCCCAAAGCTGCTTCACCCATCCTGAATCAGATGCACGGGATGGACGAAAACAACTGCCTGCCTAAGGGACTGTTCTTTTTCATCAGTTGCAGTGAAAACCCAGGCTTCTCACCTCCACAAGGATAAAATTGGAAGCTAGGTTAATATTTTCTACACTGCAGACCATGAGGCTCACTGAGTCCAACAGTTTGTATTTGGCTGAAGCAAAGCGTTCATAAATAGAATATTGCTTGATCCATAATATTCAGTGAAAATTAGTCTTTAGGGTTTTATCAAGAAAAGACAAGTCCACACCGTTGCATAGAGATAAAAATGCAGAAATCTCTGTATGGTCACCCCTCAAATGCAGGGAAGATCTATGGCCACAAAGATGCTCTGATGGTGCATACAATTGCCCCAATTGCTGCTCAAACTGTTACTCACTATTATTTTGCCCTATGCAAACTCTCATTTGGGAATAAACATTCCTGGTTTGTTTAAATTCATATTTTTGAAATTGAACTAAACAAATGAGTTGAAGCAAGAATTTTGCTTACTTACAGTAATGCAAATTGCAGTGAGCACCAGCCTAGCATTCAGGCAAGTGAAAGTCAGCTAAAGAATGAGGAGATGCCAGATTTATCATTTTGGCTGGTCATTGTTTCCGTAGTTGTAAGTCTCATTGAAGAAGCCTCCTGTTTAGCTTTGTTTTGCTTTTAATTTGAGAAGACAAGTCAAAAGAGAAACTCATGGGTGATCACGCGATGCAGTATTTAAATTGTCAACATGGGTGTAAGTAACTGAGAAGGGAAGAAGCAGGAGTTGTTTGTAGATATTGTGCTCTGGCAATATGCAAAGAACCTTCAAAGGGACAGCATGACCTGATAAAAGAGCATATTAAAACTGGGCAACATGTCAGGTTACGTGCACAATGTGTTAATCAGAAGCCTTCCACTCCTGGACTGTCACAGCCAATACTGAGGAAGAGACCGCCAACACTTTATAACACCATTCTCTTTAAAACATAAAAAGCTTCAGTCTGAAGATTACGCAGCCTTTTCCACTTGGATCTGAAGGGAAATGGAGCCTGAAAACAGAAGACATTGCTCATAGAAATACACAAACCCTTGGCACCTTTCTGAGTATGAGCTCACTTTGGGGATAGGGCCCTTCCTTCCAGTGCTTGTCTTTTCACCTGAAGAAACCAACATGTCTGTTCTTCTTGTGTCTATGCTTCATGTGGAACTGGACTGAAAATGCCACTGATGCATGCTTAAGATGCATGATTGGATGGTACTTGCTGTTTGGTTTGACATTGGCACTCAGGAGCACATGTCAACTTGCTGATATTGAACCGAAATCTTGCCTTGGCTCAGACGAAAAGGCGTTTACCATCTCAACACCCTCCAAAGCACGTTAGCTGGGCCTGGGGGTGAAGTTTTGTAGCTTCAAATGATAGATGTCAGTGGTCAGCCCATGGTGAAACTCGTGGGTGGGATGCTTTGAATCGAACTTGATGGGAATGTTGTGGTTCAGCTGTGCTTCCACCATCTGCAGGACACAATGAGTGATGTAAGATGGATAGCATAAGTAATCAGTATCTGGTTTAGCCATAAGACTTCCACAGACCATACTTTTACCTTCAAAAATATCTATTTGACTTGCTCAGGTTTAGGTTAAGCTAATATTCTTGTTCCTTTCAGTCCAGAGCAGATAATGAGTCTCACTCCATGCTGCCTTTCCAAACATTCCCCCCATTCCCTCCTATGCTCACCCTGCTGGTATCTCAACCTAACTCAGTTATATTGCAGCAATATATACCATAAGGCTTTTCTAACCCTGAGATTTCCCCCAGGCAGATTTTGTAGCGTATCCATTTAAAAAGATATTAATGAAAGAACTTTTACTTAATTAAAGCCAATTATTGACTTACCCATATGCTCAGCAATGTTCACTCACTGACCGGTATAAAATGATTGGATTTCCCATCTTACCATCTGACTCTAGGCAAGGATTTCAGACATGAGCTGGCTCTCTGCATCCTGCTGCTACATGGTGAGCAGGCAGGCTTGCGGAGAGCCGGTACTCATGGCTACAAGTATCCCGCGGCTGGGCACTTCAGTAGATGGACAAGAGCCAAGTAAGAGCAGTTTTTGCAGATTCTGGAATTTAGGGTCATAGGTTTGTTGCTTTATGGTCCATTTACAGTACCATCATAAAGAAACTTCACAGTGAACTTGAATACAATTCATTTTTGAAGACATGTCTGTGGAGGATGGGTCCACCGGGAGGCAGAATGATCGCAGCAGATAAGATTGCAGAGGGGAGGGGGATGTTTATTTTGTCAAAATAGTTTTTATACCTTAGAACAGCAAATTCCAGGGCTTCCTTTCTACCTGCAACATGGACTCATTTCAGCTGTTCGTTTTGGTCCATTCTTCTCAGAAAGAAGGTTCATGCTCTCAGCATCTCATTTTGAGGTTTCTGGTATAAAAGAGGGTTTACAGGTATTTCTCAGGACTGATTCACAAGCCCTCTCTTCCTATCCAGTCTGAGTACCACCTCCCTCACCCAGCTTGAGGGCTCAGCACCCATCCACACAGCCACAGCTCAGATATCGTCCCTGCTGGATTCCAGCACGCTGTCTGGAAGAGGATCCTTGCTCCCACCATACTGTAGTAGCACTGTAAGCCCTGCCATGAATCCAGCTCTTTGTTTCCACATCTTGTGTCCGAAAAGAGATGAAAGATGCTCCAAGAAAACAAGTTACTCCACAAGCAGAGATACTAATGAACCCCAATTCCCCAGAGATTTGCCTCTTGTAGTTGGCTTCTCTGATGTCTGGTGCAGTGTGAACTCAGAGTTGAAGCTGCCCCACACCCAGCAACTGGATTCTCCAGTGTCTCATTAAGGTTGAACACATGCTGCAGGCTTGCCTTATCTCAGTCTGTTGGTGGGCTTGTGGTGCTGCATCCAATTGCTTTATTTCATTATATCTTTCAGACCACTTCTACCAACCACATTTAAAACATAGTTGAAGGTGGCCAACAAGTTTGTGTACCACTGGGTGTAAAGGTAAGTGACAAACACACACACTGTGATGGCATACCTTCCATTCTCCTCCTCCCTTCCCTGCTTTCCTCTGTAAAACAGACAAAAATAAGATTTCTGTTTACAGAAACTTACAAGTGATTCCTGTTTCTGACTGGCCTAAGACCAAACAGAAACCAGTTTTCAGTTCTGTCCATAAAACTAAGATGTAAACAAGCTCAAGGTCCTCTTTTTCCTTCCATCCCCTGCAGAGACTGTAGCTTTAGCAAGTCATAAAGGTACTCAGAACTCCATCTCAAATCCAGCAACTGGAACAGTATGGCTGAGATGGGAAGGGTCCTCTGTGTCATCTGGTCCAATCCTTCTGCTCAAACACAGCCAGTTAGATCAGTTTCCCAGGACCACTTCCAACACAAATAGTAAAACACAAACATGGACTTAGAGCAGAAAGGATGAAGGAAGTGATACAAGAGAACAAGCAGATGAGGGTGCTTGCACAATCCAGCTTGCATCATCCAAGCTGATTTTCATCCATACTCTTTGTGCTCTTTGTGCTTTTATGCTGCAAAGTTGATGTGGGTCTAACCAGTTCCACAGTGCTCAGAGATGCTACTTGTTGCAGACTAGTGGGAAACAGCTGCTGAAGTGCAAAGCTGACTGAATCATCTGGTGAGAAAATAGAAGCGCACATTGCTTTTAGCAGCAGTCTCGGTCGTGTTGGAGGGGTGTCTCTACTGCTGGTGTAGAGGAACGTGGCTGATGTGTATGGTGTGTGTAGATCAGGAGAGAGCTCACTGTCACAGATAGCAATGGTGGGGTGTAGCCCTTTCACGAGGGAGGAAGGAATCAGTATCAAAATCAATAGCTTTTCTCTGGGAGGAGAATTATCTAAGCAGGGAGAAGTGGTTCCCTTGCAGCTGGTTGCTTTTGGTAATCCATTATTAATGCTTGAGTTACAGGCCCCATAGAAGATGCTTGGCACTCTCAAAGGTCATGTTGGTATAAGAGCACGTTAATTGTTTCCAAACAGTTCACCCTGCAGCACCTTTGCCGAGGCAGGGGGAGTTAGTATGGCAATTCTTGATAGCTTTTCTCCACAGTTTCTATCAAGACCTCCAAGAAGCCTTTTCCAATGCACCGTGAAAAAATCTTGATATCAGGGCAAAGATCAAGCCCCTCTGGGGCTGCATTTCTATCATAACCATCAAAGATGAAACTGCTGGGCAGAATTTTATTTTCTTCAACCCACACTCAACAGTCCAGAGATCTAGTATTTGTGGAGATCCAAAGCAAGTGAGTAAAGCCATCTGACATCATTTATTCCTATAATTTTGAAATTAACTTTCCCAAGAACATCCCAAGTCTTCTGAGAGCAGCTGTATCACAGAATGAAATAGGTCAGAACCAAAATCCCAAACCCAGATCCAGCTTCAAATCTGAAGTCTGCAGCTCAAACCAATCTTTAAAACTGGCCAGCTACAAAGAGTCTAAGCTCGAAGAAAGGTTATCTGAAATTCAGTTGAGAATGAGATGATAGGACCTCAAAGGAGCCCTTGGCTAATAAATAAATGAAATCAGTCAGTAGTCTAAGGAACTCTTTTGGTCAAGCCTGAAGCTGTGTCATAGTACTACAGAAGCTCTTCATTGCGTTTTATGGTAGTAAATTTCACTCTAAGCACTAAAACTCAGGACAGGACAGAAAATAGTTGCTCTTCTGTTCAGCATCACAATATTTTCCTCCACTCATGCATCTTCTTCTTAGCAAGTAGAGGAGAAGACTTGATTTTGTACTGAAGCTGCACACAGGACAAGTGCTTCATCCTGGAGGATCACCAAACACTTGATGGGCCACCAGCTAAATGAATATTGCTCCACAATGAGTTGGCATTGTGTGGCAGGAGTCTCTTATATATAATTAAGGGGCAGGCATTTGGGGCATTCAGGACCTCAGCTGGGCAGATTTTCAGGTGCCTGATGAGTGCTGGCCTGAGACAACAGACCCTCGTTCAATAAGCTCATGAGATCAGTTTCTTTATTTTCCATGAAATGTTCAGGATCACAGCGTCACTGAGATCTGTATATTCCTGCCAAATTTGTTACATTGGCCTGTGGGATTAGCTGTTACTGTGGTGGAGCAGGGAGATGTGCATGCACACAGAGAAGGCACTACGATGCAGGCAACAGTTGTTCACAGAACTAGGATAAACTAGCAGGCTTATTGCAGAAATGCCTGCAACGATGCAAATTCTCCATACCCAAAGTGTGCTTACGAGGTGGGTATTGCTGGGGCTAGCCTTCAATTCAGGGTATATGCTCATTTCTCTGACCAGCACTTCTTTAAACAGGGAGGCTCAGTCTCTTACCTTGTTCCAGCTGAAAAGAGGGACATACCAGCCATCCCCTGGTGGAGATTTCATTTCAGACAAAGTGGGGTCCAGCTGATCTATTTCAGAAGGCCAAAAGGTGGCATTTGAGAGCTTCCTTGCTGATGATGGAGATGCTGGAGGATAGGACTAAGGACATAAGGACCTTGCACCACTGTAGAGTTTCTATATGTATACATTATTCTATATGTAGTGCAGCCTGAAACTCTCTCATGAATTAAACAACACCTACCCTCACCTCTTCCACAACTGTTTCTGTTATGCCAGGAGCCAGCTCAACCACCCTTAGCCAAGAAAATGAGGTCTGTGCAGTGCAGCATCCTACTTTGGTGTCAAGTCAGACAACAAGCTAAAGGCGAATCAGCCAGCATTGAGCTAGTCAGGGCAAAGGAGGTGGGCAAGGGAGATGCTGAGGAATGGTAAGACAGATGTTTACCTGCAAGGGGTTTACAACCTTCAAAACAAAAGATGAGTTTTCTGAGGCCTCCATCCTGCTCCATTTACCAGAGTTTTACTAGGTCAGTAAGTTCTCTCTCTAAAAAAGCTTTGGACAAACTTCACCTCCATCAGCACTTCATGCTTTATGCTGAAGCCTTTGCCTAGCCTTTTCTCTAGAAAGCACAGAATGGACTCTGTCTACAGATTCTGTACAGAACAGGGAGACAATCTGTGCACTGCCTTTTTTTTTTTATTTTTGTTTTTTCTTTTTTCTCCTATGGAGAAACAGGGAAGACATCTGAGCAGCTGAGAGTAACTGCTGGCATACTGCATGAGCAAGTGGGACAATCTCCATTTTACCAGAGGAGCTGGTCACTATGCTCAGAAAAATGCTGTTATCGATAGCTGAATACACTCAAGCCAGCATATAAATGACTCACATTAGTGTCTCTATTGCCCCCGCACCATGTCATGAGGTCACCTATTGCACATGTTAATGACCCCTAGGGTGAGAGAGTGGTTTCTGGTGTCTAGCCCACACTTCTCTTTATTCAGTCCCTGTGCGTGCCCCAGGTTCTCGCCTTTGTCACTTATTTTATTCTGAATCCAAACACGGCCACACAATGCACTTGACCTTTGCCCTGGAGGGAACACACTTGGGATGAAAGAAGAATTCACTCTTTCTTCCTTTCTAATTCTAGTTGTTACTGTACCGTTGCGGACAAATCCCCACTTACACAATAGAAATCAAGTTGTCTGTTCTCACTAGTTCTGGGACGTTCAACAGGGGTTCCTCCTCCTGCCACAGATGGCCTGGCTTCTGCCTGCATCCGGTTTTCACGTTCTACATCCATGCCCATTAATCCTTGCCATGGCATGGCAGCAGAAGGGATGAGTGGGTACAGCCATCAGGCATGGGGAACATCAAGCAAATGGCCATCCTATTCTATTTCTTCAACAACCTTGACTCCTCTTCCTTTAAACTGTATATTTAATCAAGCAGCCACATTGTCTATGATTTCCTTTCTGTCCAGTGGTTGATTCTGTCTCTGTAAGATATGAACCCTTGCTTCCATTTTTGGAACTGCTACCTGCATCCCCAGTGCACCTTCCATTCTCTCCTTTGGGTCACATCCTGATATGCATGGGAAAAGATGGTCATTTCACTGAAGCACGCGAGAGCTCCTCCAGTATGCTGCTGCTCTGCCTTCAGCTGAAGAGTGAAGGCAGTGGACTACATGATGATGCTTAATTGGCTCAAATACCTGAAAACTGGTCCTGGAACTGAAGCCAAGCAGAAGGCTTCAAGATCTTGCTTCAGTGTTTTTAACATTTCAGATACAGACCAACATACAGGGAGAAAGAAAATACGTACTCTGATTTTCCTCATACCCTCATTTAGTTTTCTTCAGCTTCTCAAAATTCACTGAAACATTCTGGTTTCCTTTCTAGTGGGACACTCCTCCCTGATTTCATGGACAGAGCTAGATAAGACCAGATTTTCCACAACATACTTTGTTCTTAAAGAAGCTGTGATTTGTACAGAGCCTGTGTACCTGTCCCATGATTTGTGTTCACTCACTGAGTATATCTGCAGAACCTGGGACACGAGCCTGCTCTCAGAAATCTCGTCTGTATTGACTCAGACTTGTTACATCTTTCCAAGTCCCAGCTGCAACTTAATACACTCATTTACTCCAAGTCATTTTCATATTAATGACCCCAGAAAGTAGCTGGACCACAAATATTCTTGTAATTTTTTTTTTTAAATAAATCAGTTGATTTACAGCACTGAGGTTGCACAAATGGGCTAAGACTTATCTGTACCAAGGGCGTCAAAGATCCTGAACACAGAGATGACTCCTAGATTGAACAGCACCTCCCTAAACGCACAACAGAAGGCAGCAGATGGAAGGACACTGATTTCTAAAAAGCTCAAAATGCAGCGACACCTTGTTGAGCACACTAACAGTACAACCACTGTCACATCTCCTGAGGTGTCCAAGCAGAGAAGAGTTTCAGGAGGGTTTGCAAAATGACCAGAAGGAAACTGTGCAGATGTTCATGAGGAGAGTTTGCAGGGAATCACCTATCCCTGCAGATGAAGGGGTGGGTGGTTGTATACCCAATATCAGTCCACACTAGGGCCATTCCACCTGCACCAAACCAGCTGATGAAGAGCCTTGCACATTCCCTTTCTCAGCTGTCCATCACCTACATGGGTCACCCCGTGGGAGACACAACTGGAGCCAAAACACTTAACCCCCTGAAAGACCAGTTCCTGTTTGCCCAGAGAACCAGAGAGCAGTCTCCTTCTGCTGCAAGCATTAATCCATCCTTTCCATTTCTTTTTTTTTCTTCCTGTTGTGTTAACAGAGCATCTAATGTGACTAAATAGGACAACCTGCTCTCCCATCCACATGAAAAATAAATGATGTGCTTTCTCTCGACTACCTTCCCCCCGTCCTGGCACTTTTCCCACCAGGCAGCCCTTGGACCTGATCTCCCTTGTGCAGACCTCATGGAGGGTCTGAGAACCTCCCCCAAGCAGAGCACGGTGGTAGAAGCCATTGGCTTGAGTCAGAGAAGAGTGGCAGAAGACGGAGTTTGGGGGAGCCAGAGGGTGGGAAGTCGGAGGGAGGTGGTGTGTGTGTACGTGGGGGTGGAATCTATGTGCAGAAAGCAGCCAAGTGGCAGCTTACCCTGTTAAATATTAATCATCTCTGCTTCTGCAATTTCGGCAATGCGTCTAGGCCCACCACTGCTGAATATTTCATTAACACCACTCACTTCCAACTGCACTTCTCCCACTCCTCTTTCTTTCATAGACCCCTCTCCCATCTCTGCCGCACACTTCATTCCCCTACCTTTGCCAGTGCCGGTATGGCCATGGTGCCCATCCTCTAACCCTGCATTCTTTAACCCCAGTGGTGAGCACTTGCCCAGCCCTGGTCCATCCACAGCCCACTGATGATGGCGTCTGTGCAGAGAGAGAGCGGCAAGGCTGTTAAGGGGAAGGAAGATCATCAACTCCACAGGGAAAAAAATATAAGTGCGCATCAACAAGTCCGTGCTAAATAATACATGAGGCAGGTCAGGGTAGAAATGCTGACTCTGGGCTGGGAGCTTTTTAAACTACGTAGTCTATGTTTCTTCATCACTGGCTTGCTCTGTGCAAGTACCTTTGGAGTGCAATCATACGTGCCAGGGTGAGCTTTGTTGGCTCTGAGCAATTTTCACCTCCAGCTCCTAATTGCAGCTTCCTCTTGCCTGCTTCTGGCCACCAACAGATGCCTACGTGAGGTGCTTGGATGGCTGCAGCTGGACAAGATGATGGAAGGAATTGGGATGAGAGAAGGATTGTGCAGGAGACACAAGGGCCCAGTAGGAAAATACAAAATGACTGAAAGATGATGTGTTGGTGCTCTAATCCAGATCTGATGAGTCAGATTTAACACTGTATTCATCCAAGACACAGGCATTTCTGATCTAATGCCAATGATGGTAGTGGTGTTTGGGATGAGAATTAGTATTATTGACCCTGAACTCTACTGAACAGCAGGTTTTCATGGTTCAGAATGAAACTTGCCCTCCACGAGGCTGGTAACAAATAAATAATCAGTCCCAGTGTAGAGGCCAAGAAAGCCTCTACAGGTTGGAGGTTGGAAAGTCTTTAGTCAGACAAATACCAAAACATCAGCTCAGAAGTGCAACAGTGACAGTGACATTTGGGAAGAGGAGGAATTGTCAGCATGGTCAGCAAACTCCACCACGGCTGACAACGAGGACTTTATTCCACTGCTCCTCCTATGTCCTCCATGGGCATTCATAGAATCATCAAACATGCTCGAGCAGGCAGATGGAATTGGACTTCAGAGGTCCCTTCCAACTCCTATAATTCTGGGATTCTATGATTCTGTGGATTACAGAATGGTTTGTGTTGGAAATGACCTTAAAGGTCATCTTCTTCCTCCCCTGCCATATGCAGGGACATTTCCTCTATACCAGGTTGCTCAAATCCCCACCCAAGCTGGCACCAAACTCATTCATTCCATCCATTCCGTTACAACCCAGTCATGCTCCCCACAGAGCTGGTCAAGGTGTAAGACCAAGGAGAGAAGCGGGATTTATTCTTCCTACCCCACACATGATAGAACAAGAAGGAAGAGGAGAGGGAAGCACTGCTCCTGAACCATCTAATCCCTTATCTCTTCCCATTGGATTCAGGTTTAAATATTTGTAAGATTCCATTGTAATTTTAAGGAGGTGGGTGGGGGAAAAACAAGCTAATCTGGGTCCAGACTGTCTCTCCCTATGGTGCATAGGTATCTATCTAGTAGATAGAGATTTCTTAAACTGGTGCTGTAATAGGAACAGATTCACACACTCTTGCTCCAAGCCATTGCAAACAAAGTTAGAAAAAAAAGAGCCTGACACCTTTGGGCAAGACAAGGAGGCTCTAGGAGTCAAAAGCTTTTTCAAGACTGAAATAGAAGCAGGAATTACCAAGCAAAGTTCAGGCCAAAAATAAACTTGCCTAATTGAACTTTGCTGTGTTAATGAACTGAACAGACTAACAGAAAAAAAGTATGGTGGGAAGGGCATTAGCCATGGAGGAGGTGGTCATGGCTCTGTTCTCACTTGATCAAATGGGTAAGAAGCTTTTAATCTGAATGGAACCCCTCTTTTTCCCAGAGCTTAACCAGCTTCCATGGTGTGTATATTGATGCCATTGCTGATTCTGTTCAACAGTTAACTACCTACTTGGAGTAAGACACTCAGGCTTGGCCATTCCTCTTCCAGCTAGAGCAAGTGCAAATCCCAGGCAAATTTCAGTGCTCTTATCTGTCAAGAACAAAAACATAGGATTTTGATCAATAGCTCGGGAATGCCTTAAGCCAAATGCTGTGTTTGTTGCAAGAGAGGATTTTCTACACAGATCTCATTGGGGGATCAAGTTATTCCTTTTGTATAATATATTAAATAAAATGTGCACTGGAGAAGTCACTTGAAAATATTGAATGAGATAACTTCATCTGATTAACGTAGCGTGCTTTCTTTCCCCCTTTTTATTAAAAATTCACAAGGCTTCCCATCCCTTATCTCAATTAAGCAACTTGTTTGTCAAGATTATTTGTTACGCATTTTCATAAACATTTGATGAATTATATGCAAACATCTCACTAATGTATTAACAAGACTGAGGTTTTAATTACACAACACTCAAGGAAAGCAGGCTTTAGGCTCCTCCAGAGAAGTTAATTGTGCTTCCTTATATGCCTGTGCATTGCAAAGGAATTTTCCTCTGGGGGAAATCACATTACACAGTGGCAATGTACCCGCACAGTCCTGCTAGTACAAGCTGGTCCAACATCATTGAGATCAACCACTTCACAAGCTTTTGCTAAAAGAATAAACTTCAGCTCAGGCATTGAGAGTGAGGAGTTGGGAGGTGATACAATCCATTTTACACCAGTCATTATGCATAGGCATGGGATTTTCAAGGCACTACCAACAAATTTGGAGTGGAGTTATGCTTGGTCCCTCTCCTTAGACTTCTCTGTTTGAAGTCCAAGAACGTCTCAGACCATCTGCTCTGCAAATTTGCTATGCCCTGCCTGCTCTGTAGTTACTCTAGAGATTCAGACACAGTGGTCAGTAAGTTCTGCAGATGATCAGAAGGCTGTGTGGAGGGGTGGTGGAGTCCCCATTCCTGGAGGTGTTCTAGAAAAGTGTAGATGTCACATTGAGTGACACATGTCCACAGCAAGTCCAGCAGGCAAGTTGGGTAAGCTCACAACCAAAGAAGTGGTTGTCCAGATCTAACATGCCAAGAGCTGAATAAGAGAAGCCTGAGATAATGGACTGATCAGTACATCATTGTCAATGTGTCCTGATGTACCCAGACCTCATGCTGATGATGAATTATTCCTTACCTTGTAATCCACCTGTATGCTGAGACTGATTAAAAAACTGTGAGAGGAAACCCAGACTTGTCTAAGTCAATGTTTGCTGTTGATTTGGTGAGATCAGCTGCTTCACTCCAACTCCAGTCTGACTTTTCTTTAATTTTTTGAGACTCGGCAGCTGGCTGTTTGTGAGGAAACCCACAGTGTGGCTGTCCAGTCTACATCCACATTGTCTTTCCAGTTGTCAGGAACAAGCTAAGCAGTGGGCCATCTGCGTGGAGGACACACGCTGCCATGGAGGCACCCGTTAAAACAGACAACAACCCTCTTCTGTGCACCTATTCCTTAGAGGCTCCAATAACTGTCCACTCTCTGCTTAGATGTGGCCCCTTAGAAAACCTCAGCACTGAAGTTTTCCTTCTAAAAAAGTTCAAACCAAAATGAAAATATTCTTGCCAGAATTTTTGATTCTGATTTCCACTGGATTTAGGGTATTCAAAATCCTAAAAGTATTTCAGAAATTCCTGAAACTTCATGATGATACAAATATTAATTGAGGTCTGATACTTGGAACAGTGTTATTTGTTCAATATGATTTCTTTCTATTTCTTTTGGAACACCTCATGTCCCAGTACTTGGTAGTACTAATGACAAGTCAGGACATACTATGAGATGACAGTATAGCTACCTATTATTTCTTCTATTCTTAACATCTTAAAAGCTTCTGGTTTTATTTTTTGTTCTTTTCATTTTGTAAATTGGAATATTTGCAGTGTTTGATATCCTTGTTTTAGCCAGGCAACAATTTCAGATTTTCTTTTTCTAGAAATCAGCTGCTACTCTAATTAGCGCCGAGCCCTTATCTCTTTTTCTCTTTTGGAAGAATTAAAACATCAAGCTGTTTCATTAGGCCACTGACTGTTACAGCCTTTGATTAATAAAATAAAGTCAGCATGTAATGCTAATTAGAGTATTAGCCATTCATTGTTGTGTCATTTATTTTGTGACGTATAAACAAAAACAGGTCTTACAGGATTTGCCCTGGACTTCACTCACTTCCTCTGCAGGTCTGCCATGATAGTTCATGCATTTAATTCTATTATATCATTAAGCTGAAGGAGCAAAAATGTAATTACATTAAATAAAACAGGGGAAACAAAAATGTTGAGACTTGGATTACCTGGAAGAGGATACTCCTTAATTCTGGTCACAGCAGAACCAAGTTCTGAAATGCCCGAATTTTTCTGCAAAAGAATAATGAGTTTCAACCATGGAGGTGGTGATCCCACCAGTCATGCCTTTGGAAGCCCTCATGCTTCTGATGGCCAGGAGCACGGGATGGAGAGGGGACAACCCAGCCCTCTGTCTCCGGCTGCTCCTTGCTGGGAAAGCCAGCATCCCACCCAGTAATGAGCCATATTTTTCTTTCACGTTCCCAAAGTGTACCCGTGGTAGCCAGTGAATACAAATCAAGGCAGTAGCGTTAATATTCTCACTACATTTAAATCTAATGGGCTCTTTTAATATTCAGAATCAAAGGCACTTCATCACCAGTAGATTTTTCTATACTTTCTTTTTTTTTTTTTTAAAGAACCCTGCATCTTGTTCCACTCTTCCTCCCCCTCTTTTACTTTACTTTATTTTAAGCCAGGCTAAACCACCAGGGAAGGGCCGTGCCTATAAACAGATGCCACTCACAGAGGGTTTGGGAGGCCTTCCCATCATTAGATGCTGCTGAACTTTGAACCTGCGACTGGGAGGCTGCGTTGCGGTGAGGAGGAGGAGGAGGAGGCAGCAGGGATGAGGCCAGGGCGAAGGATGGGGGGAGCTTGACGGGGTCTCTCTGGTGAATTGCTGGCCTGCCCAGCACAGGAACGCTCAGGACTTCAAATCCGCTCCAGTCACTTTGAAGCTTCTCTCTCTTAATCTCTCTTTCTCTCCCTCTCTCTCTTCGTCTTTTTCCCCCCTTGCATCTATGAATCATTCATGGCTTTTTTTCTTCTTTTTTTTTTTTTCCCTCAGAGGTTCCTTAGGAAAAAAAAAAAAAAGAAAAGAAAAAGAAGAAAAAGGGAGAAAAAAAATAAACACACACACTCACACAAAGCCCTGTGTTTATGTTCTTATTGCTCCGCGTAGCTTATTATCACCAATGTTGAACAAATTACTTACATGATGTCTATGCTGTGCTGCCTTCCCTCAGAGTGATGCTTGTGATGGGGCTGGCGATTTTGTTTTAAATGTTAATGTACAGTGGGGCAACACGTTCAATGTAAATACGTGGTGAGCAGCGTTTACGTGGCACATTGAAAAGAGCCCAGCCCTAGCGCAGGAGTTAACAGCACAGAGTGAATTTACACATAGCGTAGCCAATGTCAAGAATACAGAGGAGGGATTTGGGTGGCAGAAGCTTTTTTTTTTTCCTCTGGAAGGGGTTCCGTGGTTTTTTAGGGAAGCATGTAAGTTTCAATGCAGCAGTCAATGGGAATAATGAGATTTCTAGTCTTGAAAAATTTCTAGTCTAGGAAAAATTTCTTCTTAGAAAGAATGGTGAGGCACTGCAACAGACTCAAGAAATGTGAAGATGTGGCACTGAGGGACATGGTTAGTGGGCATGGTGATAATGGGCTGACGACTGGACTTGATGACCTTAGAGGTCTTTCCAACCTTAACAATTCTATGAAAATAAAGATGGTTGAGCCTGCCCTGGTTAAACGTACCCTGAATCCTACTTGGGACCCATCTTGTAAAGCTCTAATATACACAAAGCCAAGCCAGGCCAGTGAGTGTGCTAACACATGCATAGTCTGACTTGAGTACAAACTGAATCAGCTGAAAAACCAGAATCTCTACCAAGATATGATAATGAGCTCAGCCAGTGGGGATGCTTCACTCAGAGAGTCCAGGGCTGGCTTTTGTATTGAGGTCTGGACTGGGCAGAAAACAAATCAAGAAATAGCAATATCCACAAGAGGATGGTGGGACCAGAGGTGATGAGGCTGGGCATTCACAAGGATGCAGCAGGGGAAGAGGTGCTCAACCAACGCTGCTTACAGCTTTGAAGAACAAAAACGTATCAGACCTACTGGAAATAGCTGTCCTTTAGAAACACCACCACCTGTCTGAAGGCAGCAAACTAAACTCAAATGCCTATCACAACCCTCAAGACTTGTTGAAACCCCTATATTTCACTCATGTCCCTTACGCTTCCCAACTCTGCTCTCCTATATTTATAATCCTGGCAGGTAACTAGTAATAGGAAGAGACAGAATGTCCATAAGTTGTGCCAGGGGAGGCTCAGGTTGGATATTAAGAAAAATTTCTTCTCAGATAGAGCAGTAATGCAGTGGCACAGGCTGAGAATGATGGAGTCACCATCCATGGAGGTGTTCATTGGAGGTGTGGCACTGAGAGACGTGGTTTAGTGGGGATGGATTGATGGTTGGACTTAATGATCTTAGTGATTCTGTGATTCTAAGGCCATGGATTGTTAATACAATTATAGTAAACTCTTAGAGCAAAAAGAAATTTGTCATTTGGAAGGTGGGGAAACTGAGGCAGGAAGGGTGGATATGGGTTAATACCACTTGGTGGCTAAAGGAGAATCAACTCTCCATCTCAGTGCCATTGCTGAGAGGCTAGGAATAGAGGCTTCATTGCATTTGGAAAGAAATTTAGTGAGGATACTCAACTTTCCTGAACTCCTAGAAGACTTAGGCAGATTGATGTGGGGTTAATGCCACTGGATGGGGATTTTAAAATGCAGGGGGTGTTGTACAATGTTTCTTCCACCCCCAACACTTAGGCTTGGCAGCAACTAGGTCCTAATGCCCTTAAGCATCCAGCCAACTTTGAGCTTTCGGCTTCTGAAGCTGGGGCAGCTTTGTAGATATTTGCTTAATGATGTCTCCTAAGGGGGAGAAGAGTACTTGCTGTCACTGTGTGCCTCCCCATCACTTTTATCATCCCAGTGGGTGCACTGGTGCAGTTCCATTTCTAGAATGAAACCCAGTCTAGGTTAAGTGGTTTATCCATCCTGACACAAGGAATCCCTGGATAAGACAAGACTTGAACCCATATCCCCTATTCTGAGCACACTTCTGGGTCACAGGGGAAGGAGAATCTTACCAACCTGAGCAAATATGACCAAAGGCTTTAATTTTTATTTTCTGAGTAATGTAAGAACTCCTACATTCTCGCTCTATTCAGACCTCAAAAGAAAATCTTTTCCTAGCCCAGCAGAGCCAGCGTTTTACACAGAGGTTTTATTAGATGAGATATATGACCTATTTAATATGTCAAAAAATAAACAGCTTTGGTATTAATAATAAATATTTAGGGCTCATTCCAGCTGCTCATGTGCAGCTCTGCAATACACTATTTACCACTGATTTTTGTTTTCCAGGAAAATATTTCTACCAGTGCCATACTTCAGACATCTCTTGTCTTTATTCTATTTATTCTTTATGTGCAACATAATACGTTTTCTAAGATGTTTAAGGCAACAAGTTAACCTGCCGATATGGGACACCCTAAATGCTCCATTGCTGGAAGCTAGAAAAACATCAGAATGGTTGCTTCTAAATACACACTTTTCTTTTGCTGAAATTGAAATGATTTACCTGTTTCAGCATCACCCTTAAGCCAGGGCTTGGGCTGTATCTGCTGGGCACCAGTGCTCACAACAAGCACTGTGAGCGAGCTGCTGAGCCTGGGATCCGATCTGGGCTCCAACAGCATTTTCCACTGCTACACTAACATCTCCCCTTTTAACTCCCCAATGGAGCCTGAGCGGCTGCTGGGAGCAACAACCCACAGCCCACACGAGCATCACTGGAGCGCTTTTAATCGCAGCCTCCAAAGAGAAAGCCCTGCTCTTCCCCAGCCATCTGCCAGCACCCGCTCCAACTGCTGGACGCAGCGACGGAGGGACGGACAGACAGAGCCTCCCGCTGCGGGCAGAGCGGGGCACCAGCTGCACAGCCTGGGAGCGCTGGGGGGAGGGAGAACAAAAGTGCTGTTTGTCCTCGCCCCAGAAATCAGCAGAAAAGGCTTTTTGAGGTATTCAGGCAGATTAAGAGAAACTAATTTTCTTACACTTGTTTGTATCAAGGCCGGGCTCATAGCTCCAGCACTGTATTTCCCAGTGAAAGTGTGATGCTCAGAGAAGATGCAGACAAAAAACAACTTCCAGTACCTGTGCCTTGGGAGATAAAATGACATCAGGGGGAGAACCTGCATGGGTTTAAACACCAGAATTAAGGGGACGTTCCTCAGACTTACCCACTCCTTGTACAGAGCCAGTAAATACATGGTCAGCACGTGTAAAAGCATTAGATCTTCCCAAGCTATTGATTTCTGCCTCTAATTCCCCAACTCGTTAGCTTCGGATCAGGCAGCTTAATCTGACTTGATTCTCAGATCTGAGGCTGGAGGATTTGAATAAAAGTGGCCTCCCCAGCTCTAATGGGCTATCTGCATGCCACCAGGGACCAGGGGCTTGTTGGCAGCTTGTTGGCATCAGGAAGGAAATCTGTACCTGTGGGTTTGCCAGGGTAAGGTACAGGTTCCTCCCAGGCACAAGTTAGGGTCGGGGTTAAAGGCAGCCCTTGGAAGTGAAGCCTCAAGTCCAAGGGCAGAATGAACCCTGAATGTGTCCCTTGGCTTTCAGAAGCCAACAAGTCCTGCTGGGACCCACCATGAGGAATCAGACAAAGGTTTTTTGTTCATTTGTTCAAAAGAGAAGGAAATGGGCTGCATGGAACTTCTGTGGAATACAGCTGTTTTAGACCAAGTCCAGCCCTATAGCCAAGTTTGTTGAACTTCCAGGCAAGAGGCATTCACATGATCAGATCTTTTCCTAAGCAATTAATTCCTGCCCTCAGTGCTTCAGTCTCTCCACCTAAAATGAGCTGCACCCATGGGTTCTCCCTTTGCTATGAGACCTTGAGAACTGCTCCATGAGGATCATGCTGCACATTTCGTATCTGCAAGCCACATTCTTTGTATGACTCAGGGCCGCCAAGCCTGCCCTGCATGGGTACTACTCTCCAGCCTTGCTCACTCTTTTTGGAGGCAGTTTGCCAACCACTTGGGACCTGCAGGATTTCCCAAAGATGTGAGAAGGTAAATTGGCTTTATTGCTGAAAACATGACCACATACCACCAAGACTGCTATGGCAGTCTGTTCCACCTTACACAGACCAATTTTCCCCACACCTGAGGCATGCTCTCATTCTATATAGGCACAAGGAAGATTTTGCCCAGAGAGGTGGTGATGCCCCATCCCTCTGAAATGGGGCTCTGAGCATCTGATGGAGCTGTGGGTGTTCCTCCCCACTGCAAGGGAGTTGGAATGATGGCCATTAAGGGTCTCTTTCAACACAATTGATTCTATAACTTTCCTCCACTCCTAGGTTTTAACCCAGCCTCTGTGTAACTGATAACTATTAACTCAAACACTTCTGGATCAGGAAAAGCTGCTGCCCTCTCCCTCTATCCAGGATTCTCCACATCCCTTCCCCACCAGATTTTAATTATTTAATTTCCCTCCTCCTCCCCCAGCATCTGAAAACCAAGCATCTTAAATACAAATCACCTCCAAATCATTACGTGCAGGACCTTTCAGCCCTCTTCAGAGCAGTGGGCCGTGAGTAATGAGCTCTGCTGAGAGTTTGCTGGATTTCACATACAACAGATGTAAAAGATGGGGCTGAAGGCAGGGGAGGGAAGGCATGAGAAGGAAGGCTGCTTCAGCAGAGACAAAATATTTGGCAACTTTTCCTTCATCTATAGCAGGCAGAGGAGGTACAGGCCTCATGGGACCGGATGGTGAAAAAACAAATAGGGTGCAACCTGAAATTTAAGCCCTGAGCTCACCAGGTGTTCAAACATCCCTCCAGTGCTAGGGTCCCACCCTGGGCTTTCCCCCCAGGAGGCTTGGATCAACTCCTGGTCTCCTTGGAGCTATCCTCACCTTCTTGCTGCAACACAGGATAGGGAGAAGTGGCCACAGGTAGACTCCTGG